TTGATTTATTGACTTAATCCAAAAATAGATGGAACTCTTTAGCTAGTTTGGTAAAAACACCACCGTCAATACGTACTTTTTTTTTTTGTTAAGTCAACATTATGTTAAATAAAATTCTCTATGTTCCTGGTTACCAAGGGACATAAAGCACAGGTCCTTGGGTTTGCTTTAATTAGGGAGCATATTATATCTAAGGAGGTACAGTAAGTGGGCAAGACAAATTGCACAGGAAATGCCACATTAACATGTAATAAGACTGAACTAAGTAATCTCTAATTAGGTTGCCCTTTTGGAAAGGGGAGCATGTCTGTGATCCCATGGAAAAAGACTAATTGTCTGAGTGGGTTACAAGCGGTTTACGGCGCTGGTATGCCCAGAACCTTTTCAGCAGCGCATTATGATTTACAAATGATACTCACAGGTATTATTACACGGTGGGAAAAAAAGGTTTTGTATGCTTAAAGGTTATCCGTGCAACATTCAGAAGCACCTGATTTGGCATCTCTGACCAAAAGAACGACGACCAAGGGGTAGAGGGACGTGAGGGAGGCCTTTTCCTCAGTTTTATGTCACAGCAGCTCTGTAAAGTACATCGCATGAATAACTAGAGTAGTGTTGGCTTCACTTGTTTCTCTGATGGATGGACCGTAGTCGACCCGTGTGTGGAAACAGACACACAAAGACCGGAGCAGAAAGCAGAATTTCAGCCTACAATCTTAACTTCAGCTGTAACTCTGGGTTTTAAAGACAATGCTTCACTTCTTCACTCCTTAATTTATCCTGAACATCTAACCTGCTCCGGAGCAACCTCCAGGCGAGCAACCTGCCACACTGAACATTTTTGCTGAGGATAGCATTGTAAGGCAGCCCTGCTATTTTCTTTTTTTTTTTCTCCAATGGATTATCTATTTTAATGCATGCAAGTGCTCCACCGCAACAGTCCCACCAGCTTTTGCAGTTACACTGGAGCAGCATCGGTCTCCTAGCGCCACCACAGAGGAAACAAGCTAGAATATCTTTAGCAGAATGATGCTGATGTTCACCCAGACTATTATCTTCTGCAGAATAGGCTGACTACATGAGACTAATACCATCTCCCTGCCTACTGACCAATCGGTTATCTTGGGAAATGGTTTCTAGAAGTTCCCACAGAGCTTGGAGTGAAGATCTCGAGAGGGTGTTTGAGGAGGGCTTGAGGTTTTAGAGCTGCAATTTCAAAACCAATTTTCTTTTGTGCTTTATACGTATATCGATGCAATCCTAAAACAGAGGCTAATTAAGCACTGAAGCCTTGAACTTCTTGACTTTATAAGCTTTGCAGTGAGCTGACTTTTTGGAATGATGTTCTGCCAGAAACCATCCTACACATTTTCTACTGATATCGTGTTGAAAATGAGATGACATCCTCTATGAACACAGTTTTCAATCTCTTTTTTATTGATTCTTTAAATAACTTACCTTTTTACTATGTATCATAGAAATGAATAAATAACGAGCAGCTTCTGTAATTGTTGTACGATCTTGTGTTGTGTGATGATAGTTTAATTAAATGTTGAACAAGAATCCTACATCCAAGCGTCTCATACATAATTAATACTTTTCTCAGATCGTGCTTTTTATGAGGCAGTGATATTGATAAGCGTATTAACTTACATCCTGTCCTTGGTGGTTTTGGCTGCAGCTACTGTGCTGCTTTTAGCCTGTATTATATTTTAAAACTCCTCGTATGGGTTTATGATTATAGCTTGTTCTCTAAATCATTCATCTGGTTCAAACGTCGCCTCTTTCATTTGAACGCTTTTATAACCAGAATCAGAAATGCTGGGTCGACTCAACAAGTTGATAACCAGCCTTGTGTGACTGCTTAGCCTGACTGACTTTGTTAGGTTTAGTGAAGCCAGATAATGTTGTCCTGGGTGTGTTGAACGGGCCTCAGATAAAACAGACCATCATAGTGAAACAGGCCCTGAATGCAGCAGCTCAAAGCTGGGCCAAACTTTTGTGTTTGCAGTTTCATGGTGTGGTGAAGTTTGATGTGTTCGTAAAAACGGGGCAGACCGACAGTTTCAAAGGGAGGGACTCACTAACGTACACGTGGTTAGATTGGTTATGTGGAGCAGAGAAACTCAGATTACAACACACTCACAGGGAGTGTTTCTTTATTCTCTGCTTAGAACACCATTAGCCCACTTTTGTTTACATAGGGGATAGTTGGTGCTATATGAAGTGTGTCAGAATAGTTTCAGGACTGGTTTCACCAAAGATATTTTTCAAATCCATCCATCCATCATCTCTACACCTTAATCCTCACTACGGTCATGGGGGGGCTGGAGTCTATCCCAGCTGACTCAGGGTGAAGGCAGGTTCACCTGGACAGGTAACCAGTCTATCACAGGGCTACACTTAGAGACAGACAACCAAGCACACTCACATTCACACCTACGGACAATTTACAATCACCAATTAACCGGCAACCTTCTAGCTGCGAGGCAACGGTGTTAACCACCGAGCCACCTTGCAGCCCATATTTCAAATCCAAACCACAAAATACAAGCTTTCCCCTTCATTGTAATCCCCCTGGAGTCTAACCCACTTCCCCAGCCCTCTCTGCCACAATGCCATGCACTCCTGAAAGGATTCTTCAGCCATCTTGATATCATCTTCTAAACAGGTCCCCTTGATGACCGCCTTGAGCTTGGGGAAGAAGACACAATCCCACGGAGCCAGGTGGGGTGAGTAGGGAGGTTGCTCCAGCACGGAGATGTTCTTCTCAGCCAGGAGCTGTGGGATGCTCAGGGTGTTGTCATGGTGAAGCAGCCTCCACTGGTCCTGCCACAACTCTGCCTCTTCTCTGAACGAAGCTAACGGATCTCTTTGCTGGTTGATCGTCTGAAGGGGAAAACTCCTTGTTTGTAGTTTGGGTCTTTTGTGACGCCAGTCCTGGAACTTTTCGGACACACCTCGTATTCATGCTGTTTATTTACCGTACTGCCCCTCTCGCTTTATTTCTTTATATTTCTCTGATTGTCTTCCTACGGTTAAGTTGTTGTGCTGCTTCTTTTTCTCTTCTGACGGTGCTCGTGAATAATAAAACGTGTACATGAGAACTAACAAAGAAGTTCTCCAGCCTCGACCGTTAACCGAACAATTAGCCCGCTGACTTCTTAAGTTACCGCCTTTTGACAATTCAGTGTTCTTTCTCTCTGCTGATGGTGCTCATGAATAATCATTTAGTATCAGGGATGACAACTTCTTCTCTCTTTTTTTTTTTGTGCTTTTAATAGCACCTGCGTTGGCACGGTAACACCTGGCCCATACAAGGTGCCTTTCTTCAGAGCAAAGAGGTGAACTTTAGCATCAAACATACAGTATTTCACTTGTTTTTCTCCTTTTGTATTTTGCTGTTTGTCTATTTCATGCAGTAACTCAGTAAATGAATTTCCATTGTTATTTTTAACAACAACATCTGCTTGAAAAACAAATAACGGAGGAAAAAAAGCAATTCTCATAGGTTGAGAACATGACAGTAGGTAGAGGAATCACATGAATATATGAGCGTATTGGTGGTTTAGGGCGGCGGGACGATAGGCGCAAAGTAATCTCTGCTGCTTTGGCTGGCAGCTGCGCCGACTGTCAATAACAACACGCACTTCATTTTGATATTTGATAAAGCAGTGAGGTTGGAATTCAACAGGCAGACAGTCAATGAATCACACGGATGAAGAAGAGTCACCTTCAGTTTTTAATTAGTCCAGCAGCCAATTTTTAAAACAGTGATACAGTAGAAAAGGATGGACTCGTGTAATACCGCCATGTGACAAAAAGGAGTGACCAGTTCAGGTTTTTTCTTTTTTCTTCACAGTTTTTGATCAATGACGTCTTTTCTGGGAGTATGTTGAGAAATTATGTGTTTTTTTTTTTTTTTACGATCTCCACCTAATTCATGTCATATAATCCGTCAGATGTTTCTTGAACATTTATACATGGAGACATCGGGTCAAACAGTATTTTTTAGGTGATTGTCTATTGATGGTTATTTTTATTTAACTTGTTCTAATTTAATTGTAGGCCGTCTGAATTATTCGTATAAAAAGTCTACTTCATGTGAAGTATGCAAATGAATAAAAAGAGGGGGAGCATAAATAATAACATGAACATAAGAAGGGGGAAATGTCGGGGCGAACAGAACTCCTTAAAATCAACATACTGAATCCAAGCCCGAACTTATCCCTGATGAACGAATGCAATAATACTAAACTGACATGTCTCCAGGGGTACCGGTATTAGTTATCTACACATTTTCACGTCGCGTACCAGATCAGACACACATGCCTCCTCTTAAATAACATCATGCATGGATCTGATTTCTGGAGACAAAACGAAACTAAAAAAAACGAAACCGAAACGGAACCAAACAGCACTTTACAAAATGTTACTATACATATATAGTACCTCCAAATCAAACTCGGCTTTTTTTTTATATACAATACAAAATTGCTTTTCTCTCCTAGAATCTATAATTGCTGACGTGTGGTACAGGGCATACAGCAACTCTAAAACGAAAAAATTATTAAATTAAAAGTGCAAAAAATACAACAAATACTACATTAAGATGTGGATTTAAATAAAAAACATAAAACATTGTAGATGGCGCATAGAAAAAAAGTGAAAACTGAACCTCAATTGAAGACAAAGAACATACATTTAAGTTAAGCAACAATACCAATTTCACATTTCCCTCGTTAGAACTATGCCGCGGTGTCATGCCTCGCCGTAGTCCGTTGCTTGACACTTTCTGAGCGCTGCCATAGAAACGACAGCGGCTGAATGCACTGCCCTGTTGTCACGGTGAGGTGTACAGTTCAACGACCGCCTCAGTCTGTTTTCCTCACCCCATAATTCTCTCTTTTTTTTTTTTTTGTTCCCTACCTCCTTCCCTCCTTAAGCTGAAGGCATTCAGGTGAGTTTCTCTTTAGTTCATTGAAAACACCCAGTACCCCCTATGCAATGTTCTTAATTGCATTCTCATTAAGCTTTTCCATGTAGTTCCTAAGATCCTTTGAGTCCCCAAGCTCGATGTCTGGACATACCCATTTTATCTCACTGGTCTGCACCAGTGCTAACGGGCTTAGCACCGGACATCCGTTGCTGGCCTTGACGCTGGAAAAGGTGGTGAACTTCACCCTCTTCCTCTTGGTGGTCGGTGAGTTAAGCGACTCATTCCTGTGATCCCTTCCACTTCCTCCACCAGCACTACCACGCTGGACGCCTCCATTCAATAGCTGACTACCTTCCTCCAGGGTGCCGCCCAGCTCGTCCTGCTGCTGTTGCTGCAGACATAGCCCCTCCTCCTGGCCAAGCCAGACCCAGTCGTGGGCGTGGGGCATTGCCTCTGGAGCTTCCAGGGACAGCTGCTTGCTACTACGGTACTTGTATGCATAGGAGATGCAGTTAATGAGAAAAACCAGGATGGCCAGGCAGAAGACTCCCAGCAGGGCGTACATGCCGATCTCCAAGTCTGTCAGGCCTCGTCGGGAAGGCGACAAGTCCTCGTCTGTGCTGCGGCTCCGAGGCAGTTCGGCCTGGTCCGGATATTCGGAGAATTCGTTTGGGACCCTCGCCCCGCTGTCCGCTGACAAACGGCCCCCATTCGGCCTTACCGGAACCTGGCCCCTGATGGTCGTGGCTCCGCGGTTAACTAGCCCAGTTTCCATGTCAGAAATAGATCCGCCGTAGTACGGAGGATCGGGACGCGTTCGTCGGTCTCCTGGTTGTCTGTATTGTTCTTCGGATTGACCAAACCTTACCTGTATATTTACCATGCCGGTGGCTAATATGGTACGCCGTTTGCCCTTCTGGCACATTTCTGATTGGCTCATTTCAACACGCACAAGCAAACCCTGGCCTTGGCCTTTGGCGACGATGATGGGCCACTTCCACGCTGCACTTTGCTGCACCGCCACCACCTGTTCGTTCAAAGAGGTAGCCGCCAGGGTGAAATGGGCAGGGTTGTAGTTGTCTAGAGGAGTCATGGAGCCATCGCTGAACTGGAGCCAAGCGCTGATGAGGGATTCCTAAGAAAACAGACAAACAAAAAGTGGTGAAAAAGCAGTAACCCAGTGTGCAAATAACCCCGAAAATAACTCCAAAAACAGTAATCTGCACATTCTCTATGCATGCACAAGGACTGGAAAATAAAACCAGAGAGGAAAATAAAGCTGAGGAACATGGAGGAAGCAAAAGTCAGTCTTAATTACAGTAGAAAGGTTCATTGAAACAATTGGATAGAATGAATATGAAACTATTCTCCAGAAAGCAACGACTCTCTCCGGGGGAAGAGACTGTAGCGCCTTCCTTCATTTGAAATTATAATTATAGGAATAACAGAACTGTTCAGTGGTTGAAGATGCAAATCAAAGAGAAAGCTTCACTATATCACGAGTGAATTAATTTAAAAAGAAAAATTAAAATGAATATCATAGGCTCCATAATAACCCTGGTCCCACTCTAAGCTTGCAAGCCAAATACAATTCACAGTGCAGTGCTAATACAGTGACAATTATGGTCTCTCTCTCCCCCTGTGGGAGGTTACAGAATAATTTATCATATAAAATGCCGCGAAACATTTGGATGTCTATATTACATGCGGGTAGAATCGTACCTGTTTGAGGGAATTGATGACTTCCTGTGTGGTTGCGGTGGCGACGATGGCCCTGTTGCTACCGGGGCTGAGCTGCAGGGACAGAGATAGTCCTGATACCAGCTGTACCCCGAGCTCTGTCACGCTCACTTTGTCATCCAGCACCCTGATGCTCCTCTCGGCCAGGACCGATGACGTCAGAGGGGACAGAACCTGAAAAACACAAAAACGCCACTGATTGGTTGCCATTCGTTGTCGTTCATTAAGCTCTAAGATGAGGAAGTGGAAGAGTTTGCAGCCACACCATCTCGGAGGCGTGCGAGGTGAAACCTGCGATGTAAACAAGTGTTTTGTCAAGACATGCATGTGTAGCAGCGTGTATGAATTTAGTCACATCCTCTTGATTTCAGTTGTACACAAAACCAAAACAAACTGGCCTCAGAACAGATAATACACACACTTGTTTACAGGCTTAATGGAAGGTCACCTTGTGCTGCAGGGTTGTAAACATCTGAAGGACGACACACAAAGAAGAATGCGTCGCCCAACTTCAAATACGTATGCTCAGCACGTTCTCCAAATTGAACAACAAAATGCATCTTTTGGAACTTCCCTCCCAGATGACACATAAAGAAAAAGTGTTCCCTAATCCGACACCCCGGCCAACATGACATCTTTTGCAGTTCTTAACCCTTTATGGGGCAAGAGACCATATTGATAACTTCCTTGGACGTTCAACATGTCCGCCCCGTGCCTCTCCTTGAGGCTGAAGAACCACTTTGATTTAGTTTTTATAATATTGGTGCCAAAATCACCACCTTACGAAAAATGTCACGAAACAAACTTCATACACGCTTTCCTACTGGTTAGCATTGAACTCCACTTTGATTTATTTTTTGAGTTTAGTGCCAAAACCACCACCCCAAGAAACATGTGACTAAATGATCATGCCAAACACTTTATAAATGCTTTGTTACTGGTTGTGTAAGTATCATTACCTCAAACTAAAAAGCTTCTAAATATATATATATATATATTGCAGTTTCTTTTATTTATTATAAATTCCAAAGGAAATCAAGATGAATAAAGTTACCACATATGGTAAAGTTATGTCTCTGGGTTTCAGGAAAGACCACGATGGAGGTCAAAACTATGTCTTTTGCAAAAGTAGCATCTCGGTTTGTGTTAACATTGCTGCTTGATAAGGCTCGTGGTCGTCATGGTGACATTGACAGTTAGCGGTGAAGCTAATTGAATGCTCATGGTCATCTTGAATGTAAAAAAAAAAAAAAAAGGCTGTTTACAGTAACTCACCTGCAATTCTTTTTCTGGGAAAGCTCGGACCACTGTACTCACTGTGCCAATGAAATGTACATGAGTGTTTCACTTGTTATGTTTCATAATGGACATCACATGTCAGAACATGCATGAAGCCACACTCTGATTATATATAGAAACACATTTAAAAACGCTCTCAATACCACATAAAAAAAAAAAAAAGCCACATGATCTCCATCCTCGCACCACATTCTCCAACTCTGTGAGCTTCCAGAGGTGTGAGCATGTAAATTGTTGTGATATTGCTATGAGATGAGATTCTCTTCCATCCGCTCCAATTAGGGCTCCAGTGTCTCCTCCAGCCGCCCCCACATGGCCGCATTTACCAGCCATAATGAACTGTCAGCACTGATCACTGCCTCATTTGTAGAGACCCATTTCCTTGCTTTTCTTTTCTTTTTTGGTTTACCTCTTTACATTTTCCCTTTTTTGCTTCCCACACAATGAAACTGATACCCCCCCGTCAACCCCTGAATGCTAAGCAGCTACCGTGAGTGTGATCTTAAAAGAGCGTATATGTGCTGTGACTGTACATCTGAGGTGAGCCAAAGGTTAATTAAGACAGAGCGGAGATTGTTAAGCGTTTTCACACCAATAATTAGGCACGAGCACTGATTGTCTTTAATGTGTGAGGTTTATATAGCTTTTTATCTTTGCAGAAGTCAGTGCACCCAAAATCACTTAAATGTCAAATGATTCTAAAAAGGTGTTTCCTCCCAGTAATTGCAATATTTAGGGCCATTTGTTCTCATGTGAAATTAAAAACCGACAGTTTAAATGGCCATTTAAAAACTACAGGCCCCACAGAAAGAACCTCGTGCCACAAAATCATCAATACTTTGGTTCCCCAGCGTTGTACAACTTTCCATATAGAAGCTCTGCAGTTCTTTGGAGGTAATTTATGCTCCTTGCTTGAGAGGTTGTGTTGCTCTTTTTAAGGGGAATCAATTGGACTATTGGGTTCAAGTCAGACACACCTGGCCAGGTTATCTCTTTCACTTTGTTCTTCTTTTAGAGACTATAATGTGACTTTGGCAGTGTTTTGCAGCCTCATATCACCACACTCTCACCTCCATGCTTCAGTGTCAGGACTATGCATTCACTGTGGTGTTCCTCGTTAAGTTCACATCAAACATGTTGAACCTCATCCGAGCCAAACAAGTTTACCTAATCTGGTTAAATACGGCGCTTCCGATATTTATCAGGCTTCTTTTCATGTTATTATTTCAGCAGTTTTCTACTGAAGAGCATTTTGTTTTTCCTGGATGCTGTCCATAGATCTTGACATTATTCACTGTCCTCAAACTGTCTGAACTCAAATTCCACTGATTCATTCTTATGGAGGCGGCTGCTGCTGATACTACAGCTTGTTCTAGAGCTCTTGATTGTTGCTGCATTTGTGTTTTAGTTGGTTAGTGATCTTTCTTTCTTTCTCATCTTTGTAAAGACTAACGGTTAGATTTGTCACTTCCTGTGGCAATTACTTTCCACGTGGAGCCATGATGCAGGGATAGACGGCCATATTTAAGCCATATTCACGCAGTTGGGTTGACTAAAGATCACAGGTTTACTTAGTTGTGTTTTTACGATCACGCATATTCTAACTTGTGTCAGTAATCCCAGATGTGTTTAGTTCTGCTTTGGGGTCTCTATTTTCAGCATGGTCTTTCTAAAGTATTTGTTTATTATTCTTCACATCAAGAAAATACTCCACGTGTTAACCTGGATTATTAAGAGATGATGCGATTTTCAATCAGTTGACAATTTCAGCAATTTTGCACATGGCTCTGAACTGTGTGTGATGATCTGCAGTATGTAAGTCTGCTTCTGGTCGCGAAACGGTCTAATAAAACCAGCGAGTTTGCTTTGCCTCCACACTTTGAATGTTTACATCAATGATATAAATGAGTTTCTGCTGTCTACATTATTTTAAATGAACATTAAGCTGAAAGTAAATCATAAAGCTCAAGAAGTCATGCATCGCTTAGAAAAATACCTTCTTCACACCATGAAAGGAACGACCTGAACCTTTCTCCTGTAAAGGTGCAATCTATAAACCTTCTCCAGAGCTCTCAGCAACATGTCCAAAGTGTTTTTTGCATCCCTCAAACAGATCAACACTCCTGCCAACGAAATGCCGAATACATGCGAACAAATGTCCAGACTTTCTCCTGCCCTCATCTCTAAGATGTCAGGAGTCCTTTCCTTGAGTCTGCAGTAGCGGTAATAGCAGTCAGATCCCCCTCCTCCCCTCTATCAGAGTCCTTTGCCCAATTTTTCAGAAACGTGTCTCCTCCATCCCATTAAAAAAACAACAGATCCTGCCTTTGGCCTGCATCCGTGATCGAGAGATTCCCCCAGCAGACTTCCAAACATGTCAAGTCCCGTCCTCGCACCGGTTCCATAGTTTACAGATTTCTTCATTCCACCCGCAGAGAGCAATTAAAGACCCCTTCCAGGCTCACCACTTCCTATTGAAAGCTGTCAGAGTCTTGTCTTGTATGATTTCTGTCCAGATTTCTGAGGGCTCTCGCTACCAGAAACCCTCCAAATCCCATTTGCACCTGGCTCAAGTCCGGCGCATCCAACAGCATTCGGTGAAAATCCATTGCTGCCCAAAGCGCACGTCTCTCTCTCACAAACTGACACTTTTGCAAAGGTTAACAGCACAATGTGTTTTGCATGCAAGTGGGTCGATCCATAACATGTCAGACAGACAGTGCTTAAATAGATTTATTCATATCTTCTGCCACACCGTCAAACCTGCAGCGGTGTATTAATGATCGCATTACCGGTTCCGGGGCCACTGTAAAATCTTCCTATATATCGGTGGCCTTTTGAAATCCCCCCACTTCGGTTGAAATGCCAAATCCAAGTCGGCCATTGTAATATTTAAGAAACGAATCGGAATAAATCTGCTGATGTGGAAAGGAAGGTAACACCGACAACGATGAAGAGCTCACTTGATTATATAGAGTCCTGTTTTAAGATTTCACTTGTTCTTCTTCTACCATTATTTGTTTTTTCATTACCGTCATCCTGGAACACGTTCTTGCAGGGGTTCTGCTGTGTTTGTAGTCGAGGTGCCTTTAAGGAACTGATCAAGGGAGGAGCTTTTTTCTCACATCATGAATGGACAAACTCAGGAAATCCTTTTGGGAATAAAGGTCACAGAAAACGTCGATATCGAAATGGGTCGGGTTGTTTTTAGGAAAATTAGGAAACCCACTCGAATGCAAACCCCCTCAGTGGTTCCCGGAGCCGATTCCGTGCTTCGCTTTGCTATTTCACTAAGTGTTTACATGATGTCTCTGGATTAATCCCTAAAGCTTTTGTCCTGAATCGCGAGCCTGTTTTCATACAGAATGATTTAACCTTTCCACAAAACCGCACGAGCGGCGCGCTCACAGACGGAAAACTTAACTCCCACTTTGAGTGCGATTCGCTGATTAAATAATAGAAACATTAGCCGTCGACTCATGCACGCGTTCGGCGGTACGATTAACCTTTTTGTTCAGTTAGACAATTTGCAGCGGGTTAATTATAGTTAACTGTGGTTGTGAGGTCTGGATCAAGCTGCACGGTGGATAAAAACCAAAAGGATGCGTAAAATCATTTCTTGCTCGTCATGTAGACGGACTAATACATCTTTTTGATGTGCTAAAAATGTTGTGTGCATATTTTTACAGATCATACTTTCTAAGTTCCTGAAGGAATTACAGTTTTCAGTGTCATCAGTTGGAATTTATTTGTCAATATCTCTCACTGCACTTTAGTAATTAAGTTCAGGCATATATGAGTTTTACATTGCTATACTGTTTATGCTAGGAGAGCACGGTTTAAGAAAGAAAAAACTGAACTGAAATATCTGACTGCAATTTTCCTAACCAGTTTCGGTCACATCTACAAAGGTATTACATTAATATAGTTTAGTTAGAGATGCATAATGAACAGACCTTCTTTCCAAATGTGACACAATTTGCATCCTGACTCTAAAAGTTGTGCTTCAAATGCTAAATATTTTCCACATAGGACTTTCCTCGCCACAAGCTTCAGTGGACCTCCACCTGCCCTCACCAATGCGACTCCGGAGTGTCCGGCAGCTTACCTGCGACAGCCGCGGTGCTTCAGGTACTGCTGAAAATAAGCGACATTTTCAGAATTTTAATATCCGCTCGGTACCGAAGCTCCCACGACGTCCCAACCCTCCACGGCGTCCAAAGACGAGCCGGTGACACGGTAACCGGCAGAGAGCTGAACGGCGATAAAATACCACATCGTAGATCTAAATTTAGAGCTTTCTGGAACGTATTATCAAATGAAATCATCTTAATTGGAGATATAAAGCCTTTCACAACAACGGAGCTAAAAGCACATCAGAGCGGTAGCTTTCTTTTCCCGCCTAATTGCTCTCTTAACTACTATTTTTCCTCCACACATCACAATTAATGTATTAGGTTATGAGTATTTCATTTAATGTCTGTGGTGTATCGTGGTTTTATGAGACTTGAAAGCTGTATATATATATTTTAATTGAACGGTATATAAAAGCCCGATTAGGGACAAACTCTGTGCAGCACATCAGTCTCTGAATTGGAACTACATCCCTATCAAATAAAAAAAATCACTTTAAATTGACCAACAGTGAAGCAGCACCCGATCTCTCATACGTGCATCATCTCTCCTGCAATGCACATCATTCTTGAATTTAAAAAAAAGGACATTACGACCCTCGGTGCATTGCTTTGTGTTGATTTACAGCGTGAGCAGGAACATGTGACATCCTGATCCCTGATTGATTTATCAGCCAAACTTAATTGTAAGTTCATAGGTAGTCCCTTTATTTATCCATCATCAGTTACTTCCATGTTTCCTTATTTCCACAGAGAAACTAATGCTTATATATTTTCAGGCTAAAACCAACCACTGCTTTTAGTAATGGTGGTGTATGTGTGTGTTATATAAGTAGGGTTTAAAAAAAGAAAACAAAAAGAAAAGACCTCATGCCCTTTTAATGAATTGGATTCCAGTCTGAAAAAGCTCTTCCTTCACATGCTGAATGCAGACTCTGATCTGTAAGTTACACTTGTTGAATCATCCGAATCGAGCCAATGGAAAAAAGAGTTTTGGGTTCTCCGTCTTGCTATAATAGGCTGTCACTCTCTTCTCGAGAAGACGCCGGACAGAGTCGGCCTTTCTCTCCATTGCGGCAGATTGAAAATTTACCAACAACCGGCAAAGTGTTTCTTGTCTTTTTTAAGGTCATAGAGGCGGTTTCTTCGTGACATTTTGTTTGTGTGCGTGCGCTTGTGAGAGACACTGAAATGGTGAGAGACCACACAGGTGCAAGCTTTTATTAGACGTGCCACGAAGGCAAGTTTCTCTGTCAGCTCATGATGGGCTTAAGTGTTTGTGCCATGCTGCGATCAATGTGGTTGTTTTTGTAACTCCTTCCCTTTCCGCTGCCAAAGCTGTTCTGTCTTCTTGCTTCACATTCTCTGCGGCCTCGCGCTTATTTCTGTGTGTTTGTTTCTCGTCGTACGCTGGAAGCATGCAAAAATACTGACCTAAAGCTGCAGTCGGTTATTTTTCTGGCCACTGGGGGCAGCGGAGGGCTACTCTACAATCTAAAATTTGCAGACTTTGTTATTATTATTAGCTGGTTTAGCCATTAGCCGATTTATGCAGCATGTGCAGAGCAACTTTACGGTGACATTTTAGATGCTAGCATGCATAACATACCTGATGCAGCAAAGTGATGAAGTTATGCAGGCAAAGTTGTGTATTTCTCCATCTGTGTGTAATCCAGTTGTGCACCAGATGTTTCGACAAGTTCATCAGGTGTTTGGTCTCGTATGCAGAAGATTTGATGCACAAACACTCTCGGTTTTACTGCTACTCGAATGTCAGCACACTTTTGAACATTTAGTTCCTTCTGTCATTGAGAACAGGGTCTTTGTGTGAGTGTGTGTGTGTGTGCACTGCAGCATGTAAAAGAAAAGCGCTGCCCTCGCCCCTCCAATATTGGCCGGCCCGCTCGCTCCTCTGCATCGGCGATATCGAAAACGCATCAAAGACGAATTAGCTGGCGAGATAAAATGTGCAATATACCGTTTATGTAGCAATAATAAATAAGAAATCTATTTTCTCAACTTCTCCAGTACTGAGAGCTGAAATCGATAACGTCTGAGCTTATTGATCCTCCGCTTAATTTAAACCTGGTGCCCGTTTAATACAGAGTTTTGGTACCCGTTCCTATTTAGGATTAACGTAGGTGAAGTGCAATCAAGAAGTTCCGAGACTGTCTCTGTCAAAAGCAAAAACCATCCATGACTTAAATGTAAATGCTCTACCCTTCATTGTGGTCTTCTTGTGCAGCGATACACTGCTCCTCGTGCTCCTGCCAACGTTTGCTTTAAGCAACATGCACTGTGTGTCAAAGCAGCAGCCTTTCGTCCTGGGAAATAAGAAGTCATCGCATTGAGCCACATCCGATGAGCATAGCGGACAGACAGCAGCAGTCCAGGTCATTTGCACTCATACACCTCAGGACGTTACAGTAGATCAGCAGAGCAATGACCACGTGACCCTCAGAGACCAATTTACGATGCATAACCCCATGAATGTCAAAGAGCCCAACGAGCATGCCCTGTGCTCGGTTCTGCTGCTGACCTGATGCAAACTCTTCATTGCTGGAGACTGTAGACTCCATACATTACTGAAGACCACCGTTTGGCCTCTGGGTTGTAGCAGCAGACCCATCACTCCTAACCAGTAGTGATACTTGATACTTGCAATTTTACAGTCCAGCAGGAGGTCGCAGAAGGACTTTTAGAGAAGGTGCCAAATGTGGTAGGACCACCAGGAATGGTTGCTTCTTATTTGGAAGAGCCCTACAGATTAACTTCCCATTTATCTGTTCTTGGTCTCTTTCAAATACTGAGGAATCACCTGTTTGGTCCTACGTAGGGACTGTGAATGTGGATTTATCAGAGGGGAAAACTGCAGGAAACCACACTTATGAGCTAAAAGAAACCTTCTTTAAACATGAGGCAGGTTTCCAACTTCTACATTTCTGTCAGATTCTTTTTAGCAGTACAACTAAATCTAACGTGCTAACTGATGGCTGTTTCTTTGGTTGAAACAACAACCAAACCATTACCAGCTGCTAAGGCGATTAAGTAAAGATGTAAGTCGCCTTACGTAGGCAAAGACGTTTAGTTAACTACTCCCAGCTTTAGCTACAACAATTAGGTCTAATACCCACCATGCCCAAAACGTAGCTCCACACAAACCTGTATTTTGGTGGCTCCAGCGCTCAGCCCGATCACGACTTGACCCTCCAGCAGCTGGGCGACCCTCGGGTCCTCCACCCTCAGAGAGTCCTTCACCATCTGGGTCACATCCACCTGCCAGTCGGTGCCCAGCAGGAAGCTCTGCTGTCCGAGGCCGTCGTCCTCCGCAGCTCCTCTTATTTCTCCGGCGTCCGCCACAAAGTGCGTGAGGACTCTCAGGGTGGTGCTCTGGTACTGGGCCACGCAGGTGTTCTCCGCCCTCTCCTCCGCCCCAGCGGCACCATCCTTGTCATCAGTGACCCTCTCGTACCTGACGGAGCAAGAACACACGTGCGACTAAGCGAAAGGAGAAACTGGATAAATATAATTCTGGCTATTTCTGAGGTGAAAATTACTTAAACCTCTATTTGCTCTTCGTGGCGCCCTTAATGTCACCAAGTCTAAACCTCGTAAAAATATATTTACTGCAGTCAAATCCTCCGACGTCTGCGGTGCTGCAGGCTTCCCGAATTTCCAAAAGTCACAGCCTCTCAGTGTTTTCAGAAATCCATTAAAAACAGCTTGTAGAGACAAACTGCTGCATGGCTTGCTTTCTCATTTTCTTTTAAAGGGCAACTGATATTTCGGCTGTACGTCTGCCATTTATTTGGCCCACGGCAAACACTTTGCAGATATAGCCATTTCAGAAGATATGTTTTGTAACAAATGAATGTTTGCAAACCCCGGCAGTGGAATTTTGTGGCGCATTTGTTCTATTCTTTCGCTCCTGTTTAAGTGAAGTTTGTACGCCTTTATCACATTAATAGAGCCGCATTAGACTGAATGAGTGAGGGAAGGAGTGAAGAACGGCGGGGAAACAAACCCTGCGCTGTGGAAAACTGGAAATAGGAAGACGTACAAATGCTGATGCAAGAAGACAGTGAGATAGAATAAGAGTCTGAAATCCACACCTAGATGTTTGGTGCATGTTTGTACTTTATAAGAGCCTCTCTGTTGGATCCTGCTCTTCTTTTCTAAGCAGTACATCTCGCTGTCATCACTCTTGCTCCTCACCGTCCATCACTCCTTATTACTGGATATCGTTCTGTTTCAGTTTGATGTGCATTGTCACTGTCATCTCTCGGTCTCTCACTCCCACATCTCAGACGTACCGGACTATTTTCTTCTGGTTTATTCCTTTGCCTTTTTGTCCCCTCTCTTATTCTCACCTCTTTTTTTTTTTTTTCTTCTCCTTACTCCTTCAAGCTCTACCTGCCTCTCTCTACTGGTCAGGTGGCCAGGGGGGGAGTGACAGTGACAGTTTCCATTAGGTTTAATGAGGCATGGCTGGTCAGGCAGAAAAACGGGCTGACAGGTTAACACGATGTGGCCCAATGGCTTGGCTTAGTTCCTAACCTGCCTTCACCATCCCCTCCCCTCCTCTTATTCCACATCAGTGAAGGGACGGCAGTCTAAACCAAGGTGACATTTGTGGCTGGCAACAGAAACATGAGGTCAGGGCATGTTTGTAGCGGTGAATGACAGGTCAGCCACCGCGTTGGACTTTAATGAGGTGGCTTACGTGCTTTTGGGGAAAGCGAGAAAGCTCACGTAGGTGGAGCTCGTACACACCGTTAAACCCCCGCCGGGAAAATATTTTTTCCATTTAGCTTTCTTCCTGTTTTATTTATTTTTTTCCTAATAAAAAAATCAGCTCATAAGCTGCACACATCATGTGTTCTTCATGCAGCGATGCACTTGAAAGACATGACTGATGGGATCTGGCATGGACGGCAGGGGGGTATTTGTGTTAGAGTGCCACCCTGTGGGTTGTAGGCTAATTGGAAATGACACTGAATTGACTTTGTAGCAGAAAAACACTTATTTCGCATTTGCAAATGCTTTAAATGCTTAATTGCAGGTGTAAGTGTGTTTTGCATGTAGCGTGACTCTTTGTTTTTGTTTCCATTGGAAGATGCTGGTTAGAATAAATGGCAATAAACCATTTCTTCCCGCTATAAAACACATCTGTTGATAAAAATATTTCATGTACAGATGTTCCAGAGCAGAATACAAATGAATATTTTTGGGAAACATTTTCAGATGCATCGGTTGATAGTTTTTTGCAGAGTGTTGTTCTAGACGGTATATTGGCTGATAAGTGAGAGGAAGTTGCAGCATCCATCCATCCATCCATCCATCTATCCATCCATCCATCCATCCATCCATCTATCCATCCATCCATCCATCCATCTATCCATCCATCCATCCATCCATCCATCTATCCATCCATCCATCCATCCATCCATCCATCAGCTACGCCTGCTTTATCCTGCAGAGCGAGAGTGAGAGGCGTGGTACATCTTGGACAGTCCGTCATAGGCTAACACGAAGAGACAGTCATCTGTGCACTCTTATAATCGCACCTGTGGCCACCTTAGAAACCAATTAACTACCACGCATGTCTTTGGACTGTGACAGGAAACCGGAACGGCTGAAGTAGCACCGCAGACACCTGCAGCCTCCACGCAGAAACCCAGAAGCTTGTTGCTGTGAGGCGATGATGCCACCACCATGCACCCGATGGCACTTACAGCGCCCTCCGTAATTATTGGCTAAGACGTGTTCTTTAGCTTCTAGTAAATTCAGTTTTTTTCTAAATAATATCGGACCACAATGAGAAAAAAAAGGAAAATTCAACCTTCAATTCAAGTGTGTTTATTCAGTGTGGAAAAAAAATCTCACATCTTTTACATTAAATCATGTGCGCCACAATTATCAGCACCCTTGATGTTAATACTATGTAAAACCCCCCAACAGTTCATTTAAGTTGAGTTGAAGGTTCAGTGTGAGAGGATTCTTCTGCAATAAAAATTTAATTTATTTTAAGGCTTTTAACACATCTTAACCAATAATTATGGAGGGCGCTGTGTCCAGATTGTTTTTCTCCTGACGTTGATCTTTGCTTGTGTTGTATCCGCTCTCAGATGGACGTCGCTTTGGATAAAAGGTGGAATTGTAGAAAGCTAAAGCAGGCATAGATCATTTAATTTGGCCACCAGCCACATTAAACTGCAAGCGTCCTACCCAGTGTGTATTTTGAGTTTACAGATTCGTCATCGTTTCTTAAACTCCCAAAAGTTTCCGAGATTTATCAAATCATTTTCAGAAATCCAGAATGAGCCACACTGAAAACATAAAGGCTAAATGGCTCCTGCTACCATAAAATACAATTTTTTGTTCATCACTCAACGTGAAATTTAAACAACTTTATAGAACCGTGGCGCTCATCTGAACACATAACCAACAACAAAGAGGACGTACACTGTATGCCGCCTGATAATTACAGTTTTCATTCAAAAATGCGTCTTAATGTCACGTCCTGTTCCTGACATCCAGGCATAAACACTGGAGACATTTTAATTCCTTTTTTTTTTAACTTTGTGTTTCAGCAGCTTCTGTCTGTATGATCCCAGTAAATAATAATTACAATAGCTATTATTAAATGTAAATTAGTCAACGTGCTTCACTAATTATCTGTTTTCATTTGAATGCCATTATTTCTATTTTAATCAGCTTTCTTCGCATTATGAGGAAAAATTCCCTAATTTAAATATTTTTATTGGAGCCGTGTTGGGGGACTCACGCTGCGCCGCACATATCATTGTGCACTATATCACTTTTCAGCCTCAGGAATTTTGCCCGAGCTCTGTAATGCTGAAAATTATTATTCATTCCTTATTCAGTATAAGTACTTTTTGGGAGACCAGTCCAATGAATTATTACGCACTCATTATGCAGCTGTGCCTGCATTTTATGCCTCATATGTCTGCACCACCACCACCAAGTCGATTTATTGTAGCCTCCTTTTTTATTTCGCCAAGTGAAGGATCCCGATTGTCACACGGGGATTGTTTTAAAAAAAACCTGGTTAATGACTTAAATGAAGGGATTTTAGATTTATTTTCAAACTGCTGGAACACTGGATAAAGCCCCAGAAGCCGTTATGTTTGGCTTCTTTAGGAGTTCACCGTGCAACGTAACTGCCCGGTGCATGGGGTTGCATCCATCCATCCATTATCTATACACTGCTTAATCCTCAGTAGGGTTGCGGTGGGCTGGAGTCTATCCCAGCCGACTTAGGGTGAAGGCAGGGGACACCCTGGACAGGTCACCAGTCCATCGCAGGGCCACACTTAGAGACACCTCACAGTCACACCTACGGACAATTTAGAATCACCAATTAACCTCAGCATGTTTGTGGGAGGAAGCCGGAGAACCCGGAGAGAACCCACGCTGCACTGGGAGAACATGCAAACTCCACGCAGAAAGATTCCGTTGCCCCCACTGAGACGCGAACCGGCAACCTTCTTGCTGCGAGGCAACAGTGCTACCAACTGCGCCACCTTGCAGCCCATGGGGTTGCATGATTTAAAAGAATGATTGGTCACCTGAACAGCGATGCACAACACAAGCCTCGGCAGCACAGATACGCCAGACGATCACGTCTCACCTCCTGTTGCCGCTGCTAGCAGGAACCCTCCAGCCCTTAATTTGGCTGAGCTCGGGGTCGGCCACGTCGACGAGCAAGGGCAGGCGGGGCATCCACACGCTCATCTCCAGCTGGGCGCTCAGAAAGCTGTAGGTGAAGTTGAGCATCACCCTGCTCTTCCCTCTCGTCTCCTTCCCGTTGACGTACACGTAGTCGCAGCGCTCGGACACCTGGAGGATACGGGGGGGACAAATCATAGAGGATAAAGAAGGAACTGAGAGGATCCATAAGTATTGAGCTTCTCTTTTTTTTTTAGCAAAACATACCCTGTAAATGTAAATTTGTCTGTATTTCATCACGGATGTAGTAATGGAATTTTGCCTCGCTCGGAGAAAGATTATCGTCGATTCTTTTGTCCGGCCAAGAGCCTCTTCTGAGATACTAGAGAGTGTAAAGGCTTGGCAATGCTTCAGTGAAATTTCAAGTGTCAGGTCTGCTCAGTTTCCGTCTTTCTTTCTTTCTGTGTGTGTGTGTGGATTAATGTGTTCAGCATACAGTAATGCGACTTTGGTCCAACTCAACAGATGGAGCTCTGCAAAGACACAAACCTGTTTCATCCAACCGCAGAACAAAACAACACGAGCTCAAACTAAATTACGACTGGCTGGGAAAAAGTACAACTCCAATCAGTTACCAACGTTTCTCAGAAGCGGCTCCAACATACAGAAATGAATCGCGGGAACATCAGACGTATCTGTCATTATCTTCAAGGCACCAGAATCTCCTCATCAAACATTTCCCCCCCCTTCTCTCTCTGAGGACCGAATCTATTTAACAATCTGTCATCGAATTTTGTTTGTAATCACTCGCATTTCAATTCATTTCAATCTCAAATACCATCATAAGCTTGATTGGCACGACTGGTAATTTCGGCGCATGTCCTCCGTGCTGACAATCGCTTCTTTATAACGAACCAGCCACAGGAAGACTGTCATCTGTCTCCACTTCTTTGCATATAACTTGGCAGCTTTACTCTCAAATGATGTCAGACCAGCCCCTCTCTCTGAGGAACAAAACTGACAGCTTGGTGTCTGTCAGATCTCTCCTCCTCCCTTTCATTTCCTCTTTCTCTTTCGCTCCCACTCCTTCGCTCTCAACCTCGGTATACTCCAAGTGCTACTGTACCTCCTACATGTTCCTGCTTTCTGTAATGAGAGCAGGTTGTGATTCAAAGAAAAGAAAACAGGATCTTTCTTTTGTTGAAATCAAAGTAAAGGAAAGTTTTTGTGTTGAATCACTTTCACACATTGGTTTAGGATCCATAATCGAGTGATTTCTGAATGATGCCAAAACAATATCCAGCCGATAGTGGCTCCATCTTCCAAGTGTCGTCCGCGGAGTTTACAAAAACATTATCCAGTGTACATGCAGTTGTAGATACACTTAAAGGAAAGGAAAGAACGTGTATGTGTCTGAAGTCTTTCCATGACTCCTACAACTCAACACAAAAAAAAACAATCATACAATTAGCTTTTTTTAAATAGAATAGAATAGAATGCTTTTATTGTCATCGTACAGAAGCCGAGAGCGGTCGTTTTCCGCTACTGTTCTTTCTTCGCTGTTTTCTCAAGATAACGAGTTAATTTTCTCGTTATCTCGGGATAACAAGAATCGTTTTCTTGTGAAAACGAGATAATTGGTGTTTGTGTTTGCCCGCTCGTGCCCGGTCCAGGATGGAATCCCAGGTGTGTGGGCCGGAGGACAGACGAGACTGGGCACGAGCGCTTCATTGTAAGTTGTCGTGCCCGGTCAGCTGTTCTCATGACACGTCATGTCGGAGTTTCCGGTCAGCTGTCTATATAAGATACGTCACACCAGGAAGTCCGACAACTTCTGATGATGGCTGAAGTGACAGCCGAAACTGTCAACGGGATAATTATCTCGTTATCTCGAGAAAATGCCGTTTAAAAAAAAATGTGCGGCCATGACCGCTCTCGGCTTCCGTATCATCGTACACAAGGTACAACAACATTAAAAGACAACGCCAGTGGTGCAAAAGTTTAAAAGTAAAAATATAAAAAGACAAATAAGAATATATATTTACAAAAGGAGCCAGTAGGAAGTATGTACAGTTAGCCAAACGGTAGAATAAATGTATTGCACTGTTGAGGTAGAAACACTGTGGATGTATGAGAAATATAAATAAATACTGATTATAAATAATATATATGTAATTATAGATTTATAGCAGGTCTTCTGCTGGGTCAAACACAAACATACAACAACTCTAATGGCCACTTTCACCTCAATTAGACACCTTTGAATAACGTGGAGTTTATCCTCCTCAGAGCATGATGCTGCCACCACCGTGCTTGACAGTAGTTTTGGTGTTAAAGGCCTCATCTTCTCTCCTCCACACATATTTCTAGTCATTGCGGTAAAAACAGCTCATTTTTTGTTTCATCTGACCAGAGACGTTCCTTCAGAAGGTCTTTTCTATCCGATGCTCTCCACTGGTGTCTCACTGTGTTAACCACGTTCCAATGAGACATGATGTTCATTTTGTAAATTATGGTAACATTTCTAATAAAATGGAGAGCAAAACAAGAGATGCTTTCGGCTCCCTTATAAGTTGCTACCATACAAGCATGCGTAGTGTCAGATCCTTCTCTCTCTCGTCATGTCCAGCTTAATAAAACCAAGATAGCGACGGCCAAATTCCAAACCTATAGTCTACAACCTAACATCTGGCTCCATGGCGGCTACGTCCATCATGATGTACGACTATGTTATTGGACAAGCAGTCCTCACTTAAACTTTGGTGACGTAATCTTCAGTGTCGGTGACCTTAAATCAGTTTATTAATGTTTCATCACAGCCACGAATTTAAAAAACAAACTGCCAATACAATAGTTGACTGTAGAGAAGGTTGAACATTGGCTGAATACTAAATTAACTGATAAATTTGCTCGTTTGCTATTTTGACGGGTAAATTATCATAAGTATTTTATTAAAGGGGAAAAAAACAATTAAGAAATGTTGTTATTTAAACTTTCTCCCAATTTTTTTATTTTTTTTTAATTCATTAGAATTTGCGGCTTTTCTTAATTTATAACGTCTGGTAGTAAAATACAAACAAGACAGTTGAAGATTTATTAGTTTTCTGCTGCTTTCTGACATTTTTTTAGACTAAGTGAATTTTAAAGACGTGTCTCTTCTTTAAAAAAAAAATCAATTAGAAAAGTAGATAATAATGAACAATAAGAATATATTCTAATCCAAATGTTTAAGATTGTTCACTGGCAGGATGTTAGGTGTGCGTGTAAAGCGGTATAAATTATATAAATAAATTAGTGTGACGTAGCGATGATGGATTTAAATACTGCAGGTGTGTGAAACATAAAGTCAACACACACCGATGTGCAGGATTTCTGAAGGCAACCATCCAGAGAGTGAGCTGCAAGAATCCACTTCACTCCTCATCGAGTCTCTTCAGCCTCACCTCTGTTTTTGTTCAGTTTTTTTTCTCTCCCCTCCTTCTGCTCGTTCTCTCTCTATTCTCACCTATCAACCGTCTCAATCTCCAGCGTTGCTCCACTTTGTTTTTACACTCAGGATCCGTCTGTGTCTGGCCGTATTACAGATTAAATTGAGATCTCTGGGAAAAGTGACATCTTCGGGCGCCGATATGAGGAATTTAGCGCTCGACTCGTCTCCGTAACCTCTATCAGCGTGTCACGAAAACATGCACGGATCAATGTCACGTCTCCATGGAAACAATTCATTGTGCTACCAGCCGTGCAGTCTTGGGCGGCGCACACGAACACAGATAAACACGCTAGCCAGAGCGAAGGGAGGAATACGTGGACGAGTTAATGAGAGGCGCGATAAGAGACTGCCATTGATTGAACATCCACTTCCTGGGAGTATTTAACACACAAACAGTGCTGCAGTGGGACGTTTTGTTAAGGTTCACTTTGTTGTATCTCATCTGTCTTCTTTGATTGATTACATAAGTGCAATTTCTATCATTTTTTATAAATAAAGATGCATTTGTGTGAAGCTGAGGCGTTTACTGGACGCTCCATAGGGCTTCAAGGACCGGCATCTATCTGGTCTGAGTCATGTTAAGACAGGAGATCAGAACAACCTTCTTGTTTTGATTCTGTTTGCTGAGCTGCATGTTCTTATTTGTCTCAATCTGCGGCGGTAAATATCTTCCTGGAACCTGAAGGAGGATGAACTGTAACCTGTAGGAAATATATTAAGTAACATCCTCTATATTTTCTTTACCCCATCAAGAAAACAAAAACACGGAATAACTTGGAAACCAGTCTTAAAGCAGCAAAGCTTGGCTGAGTTGTGCTAATGCCTGTCCTCACTTGTTGCTGCAGAGAGCTGTATGCCTTATGATCCCGGTAATGAGTATGCAACTGGCATTTACACAGAGAGAGAGAGAGAATTGCCAGAGTTTATTTTCTGGCTGGCCACACCAGCACAGATCAGCTGAAAAACAACAGTCCTTGCACCGCTACAACAGAAGAGGGCACATCCACGTCCACGGCCAAGCTGGCAGCGTTCATAAAGTAAATTCTGTCAGATGGGCGACGACCCACACGAGGGATCTCACCAAACTTGCCAACGTGAAGTATTTTAAATCTTCCTCGACTGAAGCTTTTTTCTTATCCGAACCATATTTTGTTGAGGGTTTGAGTCTCCATTAACTGCTGTTCCTTGAATGCACTCAACGTGGCGAAAGTCTGACTAACGATGTGCATTTTGATAGAAAAG